TTTCCTTCATTTGATCAAATACTCAAACATTTCACAGCTCCTACTGTGTGCTAAGAAATGTTCTAGACATGGGAAGTAGGGGAGTGAACAAAGTCGCTGCCATCATGGGGCTTATGTGCCACTGAGTGAGAAGAAAATAAACACTCAAGGGCATGCGGATAGATCGTGAGATGGAGCCATGGCAGGGTTTGGAGCCGGGGAGAGACGTGATCTCCCTGGCTGCTTTAATCGTTAGTAGATTAAAGGATGCGAGGGCAGAAGCCTGGAGATAAGAGGAGGATTTTGCAATAATTCAGGCCATAAAAGTTTATGGCTTGGTCCCAGGTGGTGGCAGTGGAAGTTGTGAGAGATGGTCAGATTCTGGATGTTTTGAAGATGGAGCCAATGGCATATGTGACGGACTGGAGGTGAGATGTAAAGGAAGGAAAAGGCAGCAAGAATGACTCCCAGGTTTTTTATCTAAGCAACGAACTGGAAAAATAGACTTGCAATTGATCAAGAAGGAGAAGACTGGGAATGAGTCAGGGTTTTGGGGGGTGGGAGTGGGGAGGAACTGGAGTTTGGACACGTGAAGTTGGAAAAGCCTATTTGTCAGCCAAGTGGAGATGATGAGGAGGAAACAGACGTGAGTCTGAGGTTGACAGAGAGGTCCAGGCTGCAGGTGGGCACTTGGAGGTTATACTGAAAAAGATATCTTTACAAACATTTTCTCACTGATTTATAGAGAGATAAACTAACCCACTGGATTCATCTAACCAAAATCTTTTTATTTTATTTTATTTTTTTGTGGTACGCGGGCCTCTAACTGTTGTGGCCTCTCCCGTTGCGGAGCACAGGCTCCGGACGCGCAGGCCCAGCGGCCATGGCTCACGGGCCCAGCCGCTCCGCGGCATGTGGGATCTTCCCGGACCAGGGCACGAACCCGTGTCCCCTGCATCGGCAGGCGGACCCTCAACCACTGCGCCACCAGGGAAGCCCCTAACCAAAATCTTAAGACTACTAGAGTTGGATTTTCTGGTTGCTCCTCCAATAATCTCATTGTTTTTTGTCCAAGTGCTGAGGAAATAAAACTCCAGTACTGGAAGTTCATGTGTATAAGAGGTGCTCACTCCATCTAAGTGCGAGAATAGGTCTCAAAAGAGTTAAATGATTCTTCGAACGCCTGTGCCATAGAAACCTCTCTAGCTAAGTATGTGTATCATTCCTCTGTAACAGATATGCCACCAAGCACCTGTGGCACCTAAGAAAATTTGCACATTAATTACAACAGTGGCACAAGGGTTGACATGCCAACATCTTTAAAAACATCTTTGAACCCAAGACCACCTTGGGATAGACTACACCTGTATTAGGCAAGAACATTACTTCTTTTTCTCTTTTTTTTTAAAATTAATTTTTATTGGAGTATAGTTGCTTTACAATGTTGTGTTAGTTTCTGCTGTACAGCGAAGTGAATCAGCCATACATATATCCCCTCTTTCTTGGGTTTCCTTCCCATTTAGGTCACCACAGAGCATTGAGTTCCCTGTGCTATACAGTAGGTTCTTATTAGTTATCTATTTGATACATAGTATCAATGGTGTATATATGTCAATCCCAATCTCCCAGTTCATCCCACCCCTCGTCCCTTTGCCACCTTGGTAGCCATATGTTTATTCTCTATGTCTGTGTCTCTATTTCTGCTTTGCAAATAAGATCATACTCTTGATAGTAAAATTGTGCAGACCGTGTTTGCAACGAGCAAGGAATAAGACAGCAAGGCATGTTTCACAGATGTCTTGCAGTGGTTACACAATACTGTCTTTTAGGGCAGCCATGTGCAAAGATCCTCAAATTCTCTAAAAGGGGTCTTTTGTTTATACATAGAAACAACTGAGTGCTTTACTGCACAGTTGAGATGCCAAGCGATCATTTTAGTAGCTTCAGTTCACCTGCCCTGAACTAGTTTGCTTCCAAAAGAAACAACAGTATGTCCTTTGAAACAGCTACTCATTTGCTAAATTATTTCTTCATATCAGCAGTGATTCCTCAGTCCTGGGAATTTTCTTTCATTCCCAAAGACAAAGGTGAGGGACACAGTTGTTGAAGAGCACAGAGGAAAGCCCCGCCTACACGCGACCTGCTTCAATGGATGTGATGCTTGCACAGGGGCCCTCCCTGTGGTGCCCACCTAGGGCTAAGCCAGCAGCACAAGCCCGGTGCCCACACCCGCTCCTAGGCTCCCTCCTCCCCCCCTCCCCCCGCGTGAGGCTCCAAATCCTGCTCTTGTCATCCCACTCCCTTTGGTGGGAGCCAAAGGGAAGAGCACCGGCCACCATATGCATATCAGCCCAGGGTACGCAGTGTTCAAACAGCAGCCTCTTAGGGTCTCAGTTTTCTCATCTGTGAAACTGTGGAGCTCCATGATGGTCACAATCCCTCTTGCAGCTCTTTAGCCCTAGAAGCAGAAAGCATTTCCAAGGAGGCAGAGCAAGCCCCTCAAACTCCCCTTCCCTTTGTCTGTTACAGCTGCACATTTGAAAGCTGAACCAAGCAAGGGCTCCTAAGGGGATGTGGTATTTGTGCAAGTGCCTGGATGTATTTAGAGTATTTGCATGCCATCAAGCACCACCAAAACTAATCGATTAGGCACCACGTGTTCCAAATAAACAGAAAGAACGGAATTCCAGGAGAGTTTCCTGGACACGAATGCAAATAGAAACACAAACAGAATAAGTCTGTCCCTGTCTTATCTACGACTCAGAGGTGAGCAGAGCTGCCCTGAGGGTTCCGAAAGATGCCCAGTGTCCAGATCCTAGGTGTCCTTCTTTCCTTTTGAAAGTATGCAGTAGAAGTTGAAAGAGAAAGGAAAAACTCCCTGCTAAAAAATCCACTTAACCTAGATGGTTTTCAGTTCAAGCGTTGTAAACAGGGAGGAACCATTCCATACACTCAAAATGTTTTTCAACACCCAACTGCTAATTAGGATCCCAAATGACTGTGAAATTATACTAGAGAGTCAGACTAATGCCCCTGAAAATCCCGACTTGAGTGGCAGTGAAGTCACACCTCCCATCCTCGCCCCAGACACCAGGTGTGAGTCACCTCTGCGACACCAGTTCTTCCAATTGCAGACTCTTCTCACATGCTCGCCCCCAGGTGGCTGACGGGCTGGGGGCGCTATGTGGCTACTTGTAATTTAGTGAGCCTGTCAGGATGATGAAGAGACACGGCCTGTCTTCTCCCCCTCCTCCGATCTGTCAATCCAGCGTCTTCATGAAAGCGAGAGACTCCCAGCCAGTTGCCCATGGCCTTGATGTTAAGTCAGGATACCCAGAGGATCTGTTGGGAAACTCAACCCCACTGATGGTGACTGGCCCACCCTCTGCTGATGCCACACTACCAGGGCCTCATCACACGAAACGGTTTCTGCAAAGCTCCGTGCCTTCCACTCGGGGAATGAACATCTGGAGTGTCCAAGGCTTGAATCTTCTGGACACAGACACTGATGTGGACGCACATGAATCACGTTCACTCCGCAGCTTTTGAACAGGAGGCTCTGGCAGAGCCCTTAATGGAATCAAACAAAAATATTACACTTGCTGGGAAATTCTTTCCTGTTGCTGACGGCAAGCTGTTTCTTTCAACTGCACTCAGCTTTGTCTCTTTGATCAAGAATGGAAACACAAACCAGTCGGAGTTTGGCCAGAGGATTTCAGCGGCCTCTTGGAATCTCTAGATAAGTTCTCATTGGAAACAAGGGCTTTGGTTTGTGTAAGAAGCCTCCGCAGAGCCTTGTAAATATGTCTTTCTAACTTAGGGCACCGAGTTCCACTTGAAACTAAGTGCTGCTTTGTTAGAATTCAAAGATACCTCCTGTGTATTTACTGTCAATCAGTGACACAGAACGAAGCCACGGTTTCAGAGGAAAGTCTGGGTCGAAAACCATATTGTGGTGTAGAGGGGTTTTTTTGCTGGGGGAGTGATTTCACTACCTAAAGCAGTATTTCCCAGCCCTGGTTTGACATGTCCCCTCTATATCCTCACTTATCTCAGCAAGGATCAACAAAATTCTCAATAAACATAACTTCACTAAACAACTTTTGTTATAGCTTAATATTTTTACAGTAACTGTATGTTCCACAGAACAGGCCTGTCCAGCTACCTATAGGCATAGCTGCCTCCTGATTGGCTGTGAAGGACCATGGGGCTTGTGGCTGGATGCTTCTGCCCCCTCATCAGAAACGACCTTGGACCAGCCACGCAATTTCCAAGCCTCAGTTTTCTCAACTATCAAGTAGGAAGAATAATCCCTATCTGTCTATGGCAGTTTTATTAGAATTAAATGACTTTTCATATAAGTCACTGTGTAGTTACCAATCAATTCTTTCAAGGATTTATTACAAAATGATTGAATCAACTTACCTTGAAACCTCATCTATAAACGGGGTGTCTGAGCCTGTGACAGACACTGAGAATGGTTTTCTACCTAAAACCAAGCACTTTACCATGTGTAAGAACTATATTAAACATATTTTCTGCATATAACCTTATTTAGCCCAAATGAAAACCTAGACGTACGTGTTATTATCTGACTTTATAGATGCTTCAGGAGGCTTTGTCCACTTTCTGTGATTCCCACCGCTGCTGAATCTGGCTTGGATTGGCTGTGGGAAAACTAAAAGCATTTTTTTTAAACATCTTTATTGGAGTATAATTGCTTTACAATGGTGTGTTCGTTTCTGCTTTAGAACAAAGTGAATCAGTTATACATATACATATATCCCCATATCCCCTCCCTCTTGCGTCTCCCTCCCTCCCTATCCCACCCCTCTAGGTGGTCACAAAGCACCGAGCTGATCACCCTGTGCTAAAAGCATCTTATTTATACACAGCTCTGTCTCTTCTCAGCCTCTTCCCTACCACCCAGCCCTGTTCAGGAGAAAAGCCCATTGCCTAGAATCAAACTAACCTTCTGGAAAATTTCTAAACAAGAGACTAACACAGACCCTGATTGCAGCTCTCAGAACTGCTACCTGAGCCCACCACAAGCTGGAGGGATTTCCCACTGAGGAACAAGCCCACCTGCTAGACTGCAGCCAGGAACCCCTCTGTATGCACTGGCCCTCTGCAGGGCTTTGCTCCCAGGTACTCACAGCCGGTTACTTGCCCATCTGCGGGAGGCCGTGCCACCTTACAACTGTTCAATTCTGCGTGATCCACGAACGTGGAATAAACAAAAGTGCAGAACAAAAATGCTTCTACTGTTTCTTTGGCCAACTTTTTAATAAGAGCTTAAACACCAGTTTGTAAGGGGCAGGGAGTTACGAAAAACAGAATGTCTGCTTTTAAAAATCCACCTTGAGCCATGTGAAAATAATCACCGATTAAGTTGAAAAAATCTCCTGCTAAGTTTAACAAGCAAGGCAAAAGATTTAAGTTTGTAAGGAGGAAGGAAACACAACATTGAATCTGTCATTAAACTGTGGATCTGAATACTTGTGACTAAGATTAATCCTTGACCATCCAAAGCTCCTTAAACATACACATACATTCACACACACACACACAGACTCCCGATAAAGCATGGTAAGAACTAGGATGCTGAAAAGTAAGACAGCAATGAGAAGCAAAGTCCAAAATAGCTACATTTCTCACAAACACATCTAATAAAAGTCACACTAATGAACAGAAAGGATGAATGAAGAGAGAAGTGCTTTCATCTAGAGAAGTGTCAGCTTACGATTAAGTAACCGAAAAAATACAGAACGGGGCTGTATATGCCTTCATACGTCTTGCACCCACCCATCTGCCCTCGAAAGAACTAAGCAGGGACAAACGGAACGCACGCACATATCTGCATGTGATTCAGTGCTTTACCGGGATGCACACCTAAGCCAGCAGATTCTTGTGCATCTTGGTCACTGGCAACTGGTTTTGATAAAGGTTATTTGCAGATGTGACAGGAAATGCACTGAATCTTGTACAAAGGAGTGATCCAAAGTCCTGTTACTTGTGACACTCTCCTGCCCATTACACGGCAGAATTGTATGGAAAAGAAAACCAAAGATGGATTTGGGTTTCTCAGTATTCAGAACGCCCCTGGAAAACTGAGGCAGTCAGACCCACAACCATCTGAGCCCCACAAACCCAGCTTCACAGCCCCTGAAACTACATTTTTCTTTGGCCTCATTGTGTGCATGTCTGAACCTCACTGCTAACTTTTAGCCGTCAGGTTTAATAATCAAAAATGCTGACTTACCGAAAACTAGAGAGAAACATCGCATACTGAATAAACTCAGGGATCTGAGGTGTGTTGAACTCTAAATACCAGGAGTATCTATTTGTTTGCATCTGCTGAGGCATGGGGAAACGGTATAATTTTTTAAGACTTTCTTTTACAAAATAACCTAACAGGTGCTTAATCTGCAGGAAAAAAAAAAAGGATATGAATGAGATCTTCATCGTGACTATGGATCGCAGTGTGAAGCTGATCTTCTAAGTATAATAATTTCTTGCCAATGGCTTCACATTTTTCTCCAAGTTCTGCCGAAAGGACTTGAGATTCCTGGCCAGAGAAAAAGAAAAATATCACTCATAAACTACAGATTTTTTCAGAGCTGTGAACACATCTGTGATTTATCCAATGGTCCACAAAGGGACGACTCCCCTACAGAACTGCACCAGCTCCTGCACCCCATTAGAATCATGCCAGAACCTCTGTCTTCCCTGGAGGTCATTCTTGAGAATGACAGTTTCAGGTTATTACCGAATGATAAGCTGTGTCTACGTAGCTCCACAGTTGTACCTCCCTCATCCGGTCATTTCAAAGACCTATTTCCAGTACATCAACCCCTAAAGTGGATTTATCAAAGGGGAAGCCTGGGTCTTCAAGCTGCATCCATGGGCAAACTCACACTAAAATAGGAATGCTAACCAAAGAGGGACTGGGCAAGTCACAAGAGCAACTGAGCTGACCGGTGAGAACAAAGAGATGTTCCTCTAGGGGTACAGGAATCGAATAGGGCACTGAACATTGTTCGCATGCTGTCACAGTCCCTGAAAGCTAGAATACTGAGGAGACTTTAAATGCCACGAGGTGTGTGTCATATGTACAGCTGCTGCCACTGCCAGCGTAGGTATTGATTTTCCCTCTCCCTCACCAGAGCGTAAGCCCCATAAAAGCAGGAACAATGAATGTCAAGCCCCGTAAGAGCCCAGACAATGATGTCTTGCTTGCTGCTGGGTCCTGAGCTCCTGGCACAGTGTCAGACACATGGTAGGCACATGGCATTCATTTGTTCCATGAATGAATAGCCAAGTCTGGGAGCTGCCTCCTTCTCAAGTGTTTCCCCTTCATACTTGTATTCTACACATGAACCAGCAGAGAGCCCTCTTTATGTCACTTTCCTGTACAAAACCACCACATGGAGAACAGTATAGAGGTTCCTTTAAAAACTAAAAATAGAGTTACTGTATGATCCAGCAATCCCACTCCTGGGCACATATCTGGAGAAAACTCTAAATCGAAAAGAAACCACGCCCCGATGTTCATAGCAGCACCATTCACGATAGCCAAGACATGGAAGCAACCTAAATGTCCATCCACAGAGGAATGGATAAAGAAGATGTGGTACATATATACAATAGAACCTTACTCGGCCATAAAAAAAGAATGAAATAATGCCATTTGCAGCTACATGGATGGACCTAGAGATGATCACACGAAGTGAAGTAAGTCAGACAGAGAAAGATAAATATCACATGATATCACTTATATGTGGAATCTAAAATATGACATGAACTTATCTATAAAACAGAAACAGACTCACAGACATAGAAAACAAACATGGTTACCAAAGGGGAAAGGGAGGGGGAGATAAATTAGGAGTGTGCGATTAACATATACACACTATTATGTATAAAATAGATACACAACAAGGACCTACTGTATAGCACAGGGAACTATATTCAATGTCTTATAATAACCTATAATGGAAAATAATCTGAAAAAGAATATATATATGTGTGTATATATATATTTCTCTGAATCACTTTGCTGCACACCTGAAACTAACACAACATTGTAAATTAACTATATTTCAATTTAGAAAAGCCACCGCAGAGCAGAGTCAGAACCCTGCCCTCCTACAACCTGGCGCTAGGCCCACACTTCATTCCGTGCCCTCTGCTCTCTTATGTACCACCAAACCTGTGCCACCTGGAACTGACCCCACTGCCTTCCGTCACGTGAGTCTTCCCGCCTGTGCCCCCTCCTCCAACTGTGTCTGAACCCCCAGTGGTTCCTTCAAGGCCCCAAAGAGTGCTTCCACCTGTAGCGCAGATTCTGACACGTGTTAGTTTCTCACAAGTGATTGTAAACTCCCTGTGGGCGGGGCCTCAGGGTAATGCCTGGCATCTAGAGGGCCATGGATTTTTAAAAGAAAAGAATAAACAATGTCAAGAAAATAAGGAAAGAAAAGAGAGAATCTTAGAATAAAGGCAAAGGAAAAAAGCAGCACTGTGCTTGGCGAGATAAGCCAGACAGAGAAAGACAAATACTGTATGATGTCACTTATATGTGGAATCTAAAAAAACTGAACTTGTAGAAACAGAGAGTAGAGCGGTGGTCGCCAGGGCCTGGGGGTAGGGGAGTTGGAGAAAGGATGTTAAGAGTATGAACTTGCAGTTAGAAGATGAATAAATTCTGGAGATCTAATGCACAGCATAGTGATTAAAGTCAACAATACTGAATTACATACTTAAAAAATGCTAAGAGGGCTTCCCTGGTGGCGCAGTGGTTGAGAGTCCGCCTGCCGATGCAGGGGACACGGGCTAGTGCCCCGGTCCGGGAAGATCCCACATGCCGCGGAGCGGCTGGGCCCGTGAGCCGTGGCCGCTGAGCCTGCGCATCCGGAGCCTGTGCTCCGCAACGGGAGAGGCCACAACAGTGAGAGGCCCGCATACGGCAAAAAAAAAAAAAAAATGCTAAGAGACTAGATTTTTTTTATTATTGGAGTATAATTGCTTTACAGTGTTGTGTTAGTTTCTGCCACACAGTGAAGTGAGTCAGCCATACGCATACTCATATCCCCTCCCTCTTGGACCTCCTTCCCCCCGCCATCCCACCCAACTAGGCCATCACAGAGCACCAAGCTGAGCTCCCTGTGCTATACAGCAGGTTCCTACTAGCTATCTATTTTCCACATGGTAGCGTATTTGGGTCAAACCTAATGTTCTCACCACAAAAAAGAAATGATAAGCATGTGTCGTGACAGAGGTGTTAGCTAAAGCTACAGTGGTCATCAACTGCAATATATAAATGTATCAAATCAACACGATGTACACCTTAACTTACACAGTGTTATATGTCAGTTATATCCCAATAAAAACATAATAAATAAACATGCAGCAAAAAGTGAGCTCAGAATTGAAAAGTAACCAAATGTAAAAGTAATTTTTTCCCATCTAGTGGTGAAAGTCTTAGAAGGCATACTAAAAAGAATTTTGCATAGGAAAAACAATTAAGATAGATATTCAGATTAAACTGCAGAGTTACTACAAAAACTACAATTAATGCCCAGCAAAAACAACAAAATCCCCAGGTGTGGTGATATTTCAAAAGTCCTTAGAGGCCATCAGTTATATAATATTATAATTGGAGTCCAAGAATAACCATTTAACCCAGATATGTGATTTAACATTCACTATATCAACTCCAGAATGCCCTAAAGTTTATATCCCAAATGGTCAACTACATCAGAAGAAAACAGTGCTGATTGGAACTCCCCATAACTACCGTAAATATTGAAGAAGTCTAATAAGCTACAAAAAAATGTTTGTACAAAAGAATTCTAGTGACAACAACATACGATTTTGCAGACAAATGGACACAATTACACAAGAAGGCACGTGAAGCATACGCGAAGGTTTGTTCAGAACTGACCATAGCAGTGATGATGAGAAAACGGCAACTACATAAAAATCACATATACATATATATTTTACTGATCCTAAAAGTAGTAACATTATCATTCAAAGATGCAGAATTATGGAGTAGACAAATTACGTGGAAGTTGAGACAATGGGCAATGAGTAACGACATAGTCACGCATGAACTAAATGAGACATGAAGAAAAAGAACATCTGGAGAAAAATGATTGACAGCAGTGAAGCCACAAGTCATACACGAAGGAAAAAAATACAGTGTTAGTGGGAAAATATATATGACTGAGAATACACTTAAAAGAGACAAAAAAAGCATAGAATCAGAACGTGGAACCAAGGAATGTAAAACACTCTTCGATGGAATCAAATGATTCAACCCTTATCTTAAGGCTAAAACAAAAGAAATCAAAGCTGAATTAAATCCATTTAAAATATGTCTTTACATCTTCCCCCAAACACATAATCCCTGCCTATTTTCCTTTTAAAATTATGTACAAGTTGATAGTGATTGTATGAATTTGGGAAAGTAATTAAAGACCATGTAGCAAAACTTTAACTGCTTATATTCTATGATCCAATATTCCCCTTTCTGGAATCTATCAAAAAGAAAATTTATATATTTAAATTTAAATAATTTTTGTTAATCATTTTAAATAAATATAGAAAAATGTCTATCATATATGTTAATAATTTATTATTATTTTAGTAATGCAAAAGTAATTGCATTGAGTACAAGAAAGAGGAAATAACATAAATGTCCAACAATAAAGGGGACGGTTAAAATAAGTCCTGGTATATTCAATTTGTATTTAGCCATTAAAACCATTTTAATAAAAGAATATTTAATGATGAGGAAATACTCAAACAGGCAAAGCACTAAAATATTAACAATTATTTGAAGGGGCAGCATTATAGCACATTTTTCTTTTCTTTTCTATACGTTGTTGTATTTTCCACATCTCTGAAAAATAATAAAGAAAAAAGTTACTAAGAACACTAACTCAAGCCATAATGGAAAAGTATGGAAGAAATACAACTGAATATTTTTAAAAAACAATTTTAAAGATCAAAAAGCACAAGACATAGAAAACAAACCTATGGTTACCAAAGGAGAAGGGGGGGATAAATTAGGAGTATGCAATTAACAGATACAAACTACTCTACATAAAACAGATAACCAACAAGGACCTACTGTATAGCACAGGAAACTCTGTTCAATATCTTATAATAACCTATAATGGAAAATGTTTTATATATAACTGAATCATTTTGCTGTATACCTGAAACTAACACAACACTGTAAACCAACTACACCTCAATAAAAAAATAAAAAAAGACTAAAAAGCGCAAAGAGGCATAAGAAAACAAACTCAGCATGATCAAGGTTCTCTGACAGTAACAGAAGATCTGATTGGCATTCTCTCTTAGGGCTGTTCCTCCAGGTTACAGAATCTCCATCAAGTTCCTGCACAAACCACTACTGACAGATCCTGATCCTGTATTGAAAGGATACTGAGTGTGACCTGGGTGAGTATTATTTGAGTGGTTTATGGCTTTACCATAATGCTCTCACAGGGAATCTTGGGAATGAAATTAGTTTAAGACCTAAACTGAGAAGTG